GGAAAATTTCTGCTTTCCTATAGCAACAAGAAAAATAAAGTACCTGGGGATAAACTTAACCAAGGAGCTGAGTGGAAGTCACACTGACCTACTCAAAGGACCAACGTGGAATTACAACTAAATTGTGGAGAGATCACCCAGAACAACTGAACAAGAGTGAGAGAGGAGCCTTGTAACCTCAGAGACAGAAGAATCAGCTTTAGCACAATCTAACTGGTAAGGAGTGAAGTAGGGACCTAAGAAGGTGGTCAGGGAAACCCTGGGTGGCAGCACCAGAAGGATATTGAAATGGAAAGACTGGAGAAGGAAGCATTGGGAAGAGAACTGAGAGAGTAGTCAGTGGATCTTGGTGCTGACTCATCCCCCATGCAGCAGCAGCCATCTTGCTGAGGCAGAGACCACTCCCCTGAGCGGTACCAGCATCAAAGGACCCAATAGTCCCACTCCCAGTGGGGATTCCACCCCATCCTGTGCTTTCTAAACTGCCTGCTGAGTACAGAGTGGCAGCCACGGACAGTAGATCCCTGGCTAAAGGGGGCACAGAGATGTCTGTCAGCACTTGAGGAGAGACTGCAGACAGAGGCTTTGGGGAGAGAATGGAGAGAGTAGTCGGCGAGAACCCAGCGTGGACTGCTCCCCCATATGTACCAGCATGAGAGGACCCAATAACCCCACCCCCAGGATGGTCTCTGCCCCGCCCTGTGCTGTCTAAGGCGGCCTGCTGAGTGAAGAGTTATTAGATTAACATCTGAAGGAGATAACCAGAGACAGTAGATTACCAGAAGTCTCAAACAGACTGCCTAACGTCAGACAGGGTCAACATCTGACATCATCAGAGGCAGATCCAGAAATTAAAAAAAAAAAAAAAAAGCAGTCTCCAACCATAGAGGTTCACACCACAAGTCAGGAAATCAAGACAGATAAACTTAAGAGGCAGAAGCAAAATTGAAAAGTCTCCTAAATAATGGGAAGAGAAGGAAATATGCCCCACTCAAAGGGAAAGGATGAATACCCACAAAGAAAACTAAATGAAATAAAGGCAAGTAAACTATCAGATACTGTGTTCCAAATAATGGTTCCAGGGAAGCTCAATGAGCTCAGTGAGCTCAGAAAGAATTACCAAAAACTACAGGGAAACTACGAGGAACGTACTGCAAACTCTATCAGCGTGAAAAAGGACATAGAAACTCTCCATAAGAGACAAGAGGAAATGAATGATACAATTTCTGAATTGAAGAACACAGTGGAAGGAATCCAAATCAGGTTAGATGAAGCTGAGGACCATATAAGCAATCTGGAAGACAAGGTAGCAAAAGCTCCCAGAAAGAACAGGAAAATGAAAAGAAGACTAAAAAAAGAATGAAGAGGCATTTAGGGAAATGCAGGACAACCTGCAACATAAGATTATCCATATACTAGGGATACCAGAAGGAGAAGACCAGGAGGAAGGGGTAGAGAACTTGTTTGAAAAAGTAATGAAGGAAAGTTCCCCTAAATGGAGGAGAGAAAAAATCACACAAGTCCAGGAAGGTCCCATTCAAGAGGAACCCAAAGAGGCCCACTCCAAGACAAATCATCATTTAAATGGAAAATATCAAAGACAAACAGAGAATCCTAAAGCAAGGAAGAGAGAAAGAGGTAACAACATATAAAGGAGCCCCAATATGGCTAGCCTCTGACTTCTCAACGGAAACACTGCAAGCCAGAAGAGAATGGCAAGGAATATTCCAAGTCATGAAAAGCAAAGGCTTGCAACTAAGACTGCTCTACTCAGCAAGGCTCTAAATTAAAATGGAAGGCAAAATAAGGAGTTTCCCAAACAAAAGAAGGCTGAAAGAATACACCTGCCCTAAACAAGCACTGCAATATATGCTGAAGGGACAGCTTTAAAATGAAGATGTTTCTATGAATACCCAGTTCTTTCAGAGTTGCCAATACTTGATATTACCAATATTTTTAATACTCATTATTCTGATTGTGACAATGATGTTATTTTAATTATTCCTTTACTATTTGTTGAAACTAAACCTGTTTTTGTATATTTCTTGCTTATTTCTATTATTAAAAAAAAACAACTTTAAATGACTTTTTGGTAGTCTTATCCATGTATTGATTAAAGGTTTGTAGAACTTTTTTTTCAAAAAAAAAAGAAACAAAAAACAAAAACAAAAACAAAAAAATTTATTAACCATGTTTTAGATGTGTTGCAAATACTTTTCTATTATGTCCCTTGTCCTTTAGCCTTTTTTTGTATGTATATTACTATGTAGTTAAATGTTTAATATAGTTATATTGTTATTATTTACATTATAGCTTCTGGGTTTGAATATTTTACTTCAGGTCATGAAAAATATTAGTTCTTTTTCTTCTAAATCTTCTTAGATTCTACATACTGATTTTTAAGTCACCTGAATATTTCTTGTATAATGTGTGAAGTAGGGCTTTGTATTTGTTTTATTTCAAGTAATAGTGGTCCATGCACCTTATTTGTTGAATAAGCCTTATTTTACCCATTGATTTGAACATCAACTTAATCATATATTGTTAGACAGATATATATGTTTGTCTCTAGAATACTCATTATATTTCATTGATCTACTTGATTATTTCTGTGCTGGTGTCATGGTGGTTTAATTGTTGAGGCTTTATAATGGTTTTAATTTTTTTAATATTTTATAATTAAGTTTGACATTTAGAAAAATAAATAAAATCAATCCTCATTTAAGAAAGAAAGAATGACAGAGAGATGGAACTCCTAACTTTTGTGACAACATGGATGGAACTGGAGAATATTAAGCTAAGTGAAATAAGCCAGTTGATCAAAGACAATTACCATATGATCTCATCTATAAGTGGAGTATAGTCAACAAAATAAACTAACAAACAAAAGAAACCACAGGCACAGAAACACAGAGCAGACTGAAAGTAACCAGAGGGGATGGGGAAAGAGAACAATGGTAGAAAGAAGGGGAAGGGACTAGACAAAGAATATGTATGAATGACCCATGGACATGGACAACAGAGTGGGAACTGACTGTTGGGAGATTGGGGTGAGGGTGGGATGGGTGGAGGGGGTAAAGGGGTAAGAACTGAGACAACTGTAATAGAAAAACATGATTTATAAATTTAAAAATAAATAAATAAATTGGAAAAAGACAATGGTACATTTACACAATGTAAATTGTTACTATGGGATACTATGCAGTAGAAAGAAAGAAAGAACTACTGCTCTTTGCTACAGCATAGATGCAACTGGAGAGCATTATTCTAAGTGAAATAAGCCAGGTAGTGAAAGACAAATACAATATGATATCACCTGTATATGGACCCTAATCAGCAAAGCAAAGAGGCAAAGAATATATGACCAGCAACATCGAAAGAAAAAAGAAACTGACAGGCACGGGATTGAGACAGAAGGGGGTAGCGGGGAGGGGAAGGGGATTTGTCAGATCAAGGAACATGTGTGAAGGAAACATGTACAAAGCCTAGGTGGGGAACGATTGAGGGGGTAGGTGGGAGTGGGTGTGGCAGTGGAAAATGGTGACAGGTAAATGGAGACAAATGTATTTGAAAAAACATTTTAAATAATTAATTAAATTAAAAAAAGAGCTTTATAACACAAATGTTGTAGTTGAAATATCATAAGAGCTCTTTCATCTTTACTTTTATTACAAAATGTATCTGGTAGCTTTCTGTTTTGCAATTCCAAGGACAGGGTTATTATTATTGACCCTATCGATATATGAAGCGGGAATTCTGTTTTTAGAGATATTTTATTAATTATTTGGAAATAAAAAGGAAAATATAGGAGAGATCTGTTTAAAATCTTGATAGAAACCAATTATAGAAGAAAAAACTCTATTGTTTAATTATGCAGTTTTGTTAAAAATTTTAATACAATTGACTGGATATATTGCATATTGTACTTAGGCCCTATAATAAGCAGTTTTGAAAGATTACGTAAAAGTCGTTTTCTTTCATTTAATGAATACTGGCTAATTTCCAAAACAAATAAAGAACAGGCAAGCACATGGAATACTAAAAATCAATGAGAACATTTTGCTTCTATAATATTTTATTGTAAATCATTGTGAAGGTTTGCTTATAATGGCATCAACTGCTTAGGATATATATACATCTGCATAAAATGGAAGCAAATCTTTTTGTTCAAAATATTTTCCAAAGTGTCAGTAACAAGTATTTATTTGTAATTAATTTCCAAATTATAAGAACTCTCTGCTGTTAAAGTATTATTCAGACAACATAGGCCAGTTGTGATTACGAGGCAAAGTTAAATGTCTTTAATTGGTTCAAAAAGAATAAAATACTTAGGAATAAATCTAACCAAGGACAAAAAAAACCTGTACTAGGAAAATTATAAGACAGTGAAGGAAGAGATTGAAGAAAATATGAATAAGTGTAAGCACATACCATGTATATGGATACAAATTAACATTATTAAAATGTCCTTACTACCCAAAGCAATCTATAGATTCAATGCAATTCTTAAAAAGATCCTAATGTTGTATTTAACAGAAACAGAATTAATATTTCAAATATTTATATAGAACCACAACAGGCTCTGCAAAGCAACAGTGATTATGAGAAAGAAAAACAAAGTTGGAGGAATCATTCTACATGATACCAAACTATAATATAAAGCCATAGTAATCAAAACAGCATGGTACTGGCATAAAAAGAGACACATAGATCAATCGAACAGAATAGAGAGCCTGGAAATAAGCCCACAACTTTATATTCAATTAATATTCAACAAGGAAGGAGGTATATGCAGTGGGCTAAAGATTGTTTATTCAATAAACGGTACTGGGAAAATTGGACAGATGTGCAGAAAAATGAATCTACTCCACCTTCTTACTCCACACACAAGAATAAATTCAAAATGGATTAAATACTTAAATATTAGAGCCACTGCTCTAGCTGTGCCCCCTCCCCTCATTAGTAGAGTGTGCTCTGGCTCCAGGAAGCTAGTTGCCAACATGGTGAAGATTGTGACAGTTAAGACCAAGGCATACCTGGACCAGAAACCAAGCACGAGTGGGCTGCGGAAGCAGGTGAAGGTGTTCCAGAGCAGCACCAACTACCTCGAGAATTCCATCCAGAGTATCATCTCCATGGTGGAGCCAGCGCAGTGACAGGAGGCCACCCTGGTGGTGGGTGCAGACAACAGGTTCTACATGAAGGAGGCTATCCACCTCATCCTCCGCATCGCCGCCGCCAACGGGATTGGTCGCTTGGTTATTGGACAGAATGGCATCCTCTCCACCCCTGCTGAATCCTGCATCATTAGGAAGATCAAAGTCATTGGTGGGATCATTCTGACAGCCAGACACAATCCTGGAGGGCCCAATGGAGATTCGGGAATCAAATTTAGTATTTCCAATGGAAGTCCTTCTCCTGAAGCAGTAACTGATAAGATTTTCCAAATCAGCAAGACAATTGAGGAATATGCAATTTGCCCTGACCTCAAAGTAGACCTTGGAATTCTGGGAAAGCAACAGTTTGACCCGGAAAACGAGTTTAAACCCTTCACAGTGGAAATTGTGGATTCAGTGGAAGCTTATGCAATGATGCTGAGAAACATATTTGACTTCAATGCACTGAAAGAACTTCTTTCTGGTCCCAATCGACTAAAGATCTGCATAGATGCCATGCATGGAGTTGTAGGCCCATACGTAAAGAAGATCTTCTGCGAGGAACTCAGTGCCCCTGCGAACTTGGCAGTCAACTGCATTCCTCTGGAGGACTTCGGAGGCCACTACCCTGACCCCAACCTCACCTGTGCAGCTGACCTGGTGGAGACCATGAAGACTGGAGAGCATGATTTGGGGGCTGCCTTTGACGGAGATGGGGATCAAGACATGATTCTAGGCAAGCACGGGTTCTTTGTGAACCCTTCAGACTCCGTGGCTGTCATCGCTACCAACATCTTCAGCATTCCGTACTTCCAGCAAACCAGGGTCCGTGGCCTTCCCTGCAGCATGCCCACCAGTGGAACCCTGGACAGGGTGGCTAATGATGCAAAGATCACCTTGTATGAGACCCCCACTGGTTGGAAGTTTTTTGGGAATTTGATGGATGCTGGCAAACAGTCCCTTTGTGGGGAGGAGAGCTTCAGCACTGGCTCTGACCACATCCATGAGAAAGACAGACTCTGGGCTGTCCTTACTTGTCTGTCCATTCTAGTCACCCACAAACAGAGTGTGGAGGACATTCTCAAAGATCACTGGCAAAAGTATGGCCAAAATTTCTTCACTAGGTATGATTATGAGGAGGTGGAGCCCAAGGGTGCAAACAAAATGATGAAAGACTTGGAGGCCCTGATATCTGACCGCTCCTTTGTGGGGGAGCAGTTCTCAGTGGGTGACAAAGTTTACACCGTGGAGAAGGTTGATAACTTCCAATACAGTGATCTGGTGGACAGAAGCATTTCAAGAAATCAGGGCCTGCGGCTCATTTTTGCAGATGGTTCCTGCATCATCTTTCTACTGAGTGGCACTTGGAGTGCGGGGGCCACCATCCGACTGTATATCGACAGCTATGAGAAGGACATCACCGAGATCTACCAGGACCCCCAGGTCATGTTGGGCCCCCTTGTTTCCGTTGCTCTGAAGGTCTCCCAACTCCAGGAAAGGACAGGACACAGCGCACCTATGGTCATCACCTAAGACGATAGGCCAGATGCAGTACATCTCTCCATGCCAGGGACGTCCAAGTCATCTGATTAAAAAACATGGTTAGAAAAAATGTGTATTCACCCAGGCTTTATAGGATTTGGTTTTCCACTAACCAGTTTTTGATGAATGGTATGTTTGCAAAGCACTGCCAGTTGAGACACCCGTGGGAGCCATGTGGGAAAGAGGGTGAAAGGCCCAAAGATTTATGCTAATGTCAGTCCCTTTTCATGCCCTTTCCCACTGCTGCTGTGTGGATTTTTGTCGCCTTAGTGCCAAGTTCTGTTTATACTACAGTGCAACACAGAGGCTGAGCATCAGCTAATGAGGCCACTTCTCATCCTTAGGATGGGCCAGTGAAATGACAATGCACCTTTTTTCTCCTTGGTGACCCTTTCCCCCTATTTATTATTTACATGGAATCCAGCGAATGAAATTTCTGGTGCCTTCTCTCCAATCAACTCTTTCTTCAGAATGAGTCTTCAGAATGTCTACAGATTTCTGCCTTGTTTTGCAACATAGTCCTATTCACACAAATACTTTGGGTTATTAAAGCAAAATAAGCTACTAAAAATACTTAAATATTCGACCCAAAACCATAAAAATACTGGAAGAAAACATAGACAGCAAAATATTGGACATTGCTTATAGCAATATTTTATTGACTGCATTTCCCCAGGAAAGGGAAACAAAAGAAAATATAAACAAATGTGACTACATCAAACTAAATTTTTTTGCACAGTAATGGAAACCATCAAAAAAAAAAATGGATAACCCATGAAATGGGACAACATATTTACCCATTCATCTGATAAGCGACTACTATCCAAAATTTATAAACTTACAAAACTCAACACCAAAAACACAAACAATCCAATTAAAAATAGGCAAAGGATCTGAGTAGACACTTCTCGAAAGAGGACGTACAGATGGTCAATAGACATATGAAAAGATGTTCTACATCACTAGGCATCAGGAAAATGTAAATTAAAACCACAATGAGATATCACCTCACACCTTTCAGAATTGCTGTCATCAATAAATCAATAAACAAGTGTTGTCGAAGGTGGAAACAAAAGAGAACTCTTCCACATTGTTGATGGGAATGCAGACTGCTGCAACAACTGTGGAAAGTGGTATGGAGATACCTTAAATATTAAAAGTGTATTTGCCTTTTGACCCAGCAATCCTGGTTCTGGGAATATATGCAAAGAAACCCAAAACGCTAATTTTGAAAAACATAAGCACCCTTATGTTCATTGCGACATTATTTACAATCACCAACATATGCAAGCAGTCGAAGTGTCCATCAGTAGATGAGTGGATAAAACAACTATGTGACATTTACACAATGGAATAATACTTGGCCAAAAAAAATACCCATTGCCACAGCATGGGTGGAACTAGAGAACATTATGGTAAGTAAAATGAGGCAGTCAGAGAAAGACAGCTACCATGTGATTTCACTTACATGTGGAATCTAATGAAAAAGCTGAACTAACAAAGAAAATAGAGACAGACTCATAGGTGGAGAGCAGGATGACAGTTGCTGGAGGAGGAGGTTAAGGGGTGCAGGGCTTGACCAAAAGGGAAAAAGGACTCATGGACATGGACAACAGTGTGGTGATTGCAGAGGGAAGGGTACATGAGGGAATTAATTTTAATGGAAAAAACACAATATTATTTTAAATAATAAATTTAGAAATAGAGGAAATATATTCAAAGACAATGAGAGTTTTGGTTAGTGAAATTCTTCAGTTTAAAATGTGTTGTAATTGAGGTACAAATGTAGTATCAGTAGCTCAGCAAATTTATAATGTAGATGAACTTTGTCTCTTAAATCCCTAGATGTACCCTACATCCCCATTACCAACCTTCTGCATCTTCATGCTGCCCTGGGATTCTTTTAGCAGATAAAAGAATGTGATATTTATTTAATGTATTAACTCTCCATGGATCTTTGCTTTTAAAAAGACCACAATAGAAAAGGCCATATTTAACCCAAAAGAAAATTGGCAAATATGCTCAAGTTTAATACATGTACCTGCCAATGAAAAATTTACTCTAACTTTCTGTTATGTGCTTTTAAAGTACAGGAATTATAATCTGGTTTCACTTAGTTTCCCAGGGCCACACAGTGAACCTCACACTTACATGAGGGCTGCATATCTAATTTAGATATGCAGGAGAACCAAGATGGCTGAGAAGTGAGTGGAAGTAACACTTACCTCCTCCAAGGACCAACCTGTAATTACAACTAAATTGTGGAGAAATCACACAGAATAAACAACTGAACAATAATGGGAAAGGAGCGTTATAACCTCGGACAGGAAGAAGGATCAGCTTTTGCACGACCTAACTGGTAAGGAGTGCAGTAGAGACTCGAGGAAGCAGGTGGGGCACCCACAAGGCAGCAGCACCAGAAGGACATTGAAATGGCCAGTTGGGTCCCCCTGAGAAGAGTGGGGTATAAACCAAAAGCAGGGATCTCCAGCCTACAGCACCAGAACCCAAAAAGTACACAGATAACAGCCAAGTTGTGAAAACCTGCAGGATTGCTCCCTGCCAGAGACAGGCGGCTGGAGGCCCAAACACCCATTTAAAAGGCCAATGCATAAATATTTATTGGTAGCCACTTACCCTTGGCTCTGACAAAAGTAGAGACAGAGTGGGATAGAGATGCCTGAGGAGAGACTGGGGAAAGGGGGCTTTGGAGAGAGAACTGAGAGAGTAGCCAGTGGGATCCCAGTGCTGATTCATTGCCCAGACCGTAGCATCCATCATGCTCAGGGAAACAACTCCCTTGAATGGCAGCAGGTTGAGAGGACTCAATAACACAGCCTCCAGGAGGAATTTCCCCCCCACTATGATGTCTCTAAACCAGCCTGCTGAATGCAGAGGAACTAGACTAACAGTTGAAGAAGACAGTCACAGACAGTAGATCATTGGAAGACTCAAACTGCCTATGATCAGCCGGGGTCAACATCTGACATCATCAGCGGCAGATCCAGAGGGGCGGGGGGAGACAACAGTCTTTGTTCATAGAAATTCATGCCAGAAAGTCAGGAAATCAAGACAGACCAATTTAAGAGGCAGGAAAAAAAGAGAAGAGCCTCACGAATAATGGGAAGACAAAGAAACAACCCCCCAGTTGAAGGGAAAGGAGGAATACCCAGAAAGAAAACTAAATGAAAGAGCAGCAAATAAACAATCAGATGTTGAGTTCCAAACAAGGGTTCTAAGGAAGCTCAATGAGCTCAGTGAGCTCAGAGAGAATTACTAAATACTACAGGGAAACTATGAGGGACTTACTGCCAAGTATATCAGCATAATAAAGGACATAGAAACTATAAGAGACGAGAGGAAATAAAGAATACAGTTTCTGAATTGAACAACAAAGTAAAAGGAATCAAAAGCGGATTAGATGAAGGTGAGAAACAAATCAGAGAGCTGGAGGACAAGGTAGAAAAAAGCTCCCAGAAAGAACAAGAAAATGAAAAAAAGACTCAAAAAGAATGAAGAGACATTGAGGGAAAGGCAATACAATCTTAAAATGTAATAGTGTCCATATGATTGGAATATCAGGAGATGAAGAGGAGCAAGGGATAGAGAACCTGTTTGGAAAAGTAATGATGGAAAACTTCCCTCATTTGAGGAGAGAAAAGGTCACACAAGTCCAGGAAGCACAGAGGGACCCATTCAAGAGGAACCCAAAGAGGCCCACTTTAAGACACATCATCATTATAATGGCAAATATCAAAAACAAACTGAGAATCCTAAAGGAAACAAGGGAGAAAGAGGTAGTGACATGTAAGTGAGCTCCGGTATGGCTAGCAGCTGACTTCTCAACAGAAACACTGCCAGCCAGAAGAGAGTGGCAAGAAATATTTAAGACATGAAAAGCAAATGTCTGCAACTAAGACTGCTCTACCCTGCAACACTCTCAATTAAAATGGAAAGTGAAATAGGATGTTTCCTGACAAAATAAGACTAAAAGCATACACCTCCACCACACCAGCATTGTATAATATGCTAATAGGACTGCTTTAAGAACATGAAGAAAAACAGTCTGTGAATACCCAGATTCACAGTCACCAATACTTGATATTACCAATATTTTTAATACTTATTAATCTGATTGTGACAATGATGTGTTATTTTAATTGTTACTTTGTTACTTGTTGAAACTAAACCTGTTTTTGCATATTTTTTTGCCTATTTCTATTATTTTAAAAAAATCTTTAAATGACTATTTTGGTATTCTCTATATATTTTTTGATTAAAGGTTTGTAGAATTTTTGCCTTAAAGAAAAAGAAAACTCTATTGACCTTGTTTCAGGTATTTTGCATATACTTTCCTATTCAATTACCTGTTCTTTAACTTTTTTTCATAGGTATATTCCTACATAGTCCTAAATGTTTAAGATAGTCATATTGTCAATACTTTATAGCTCCTAAGTTTGAATATGTTACTTCAGGGTAAGAAAAATGTTATTTTGGATTTTCTCCAAAACTCTTTAGATTTTACATATTGATTTTTAACTCACCTGAATATTTCTTATATAATGTGTGAAATAGGACTCTGTGTTTGTTGTTTTTTTTCAAGTAATAGTGGCCCATGCTAATTATTTGTTGAATAAGCCTTATTTTCTCCAGTTATTTGAATTATCAATTTAATCATATATTACATTGTTAGACAGGAGATATATATATATATATATATATATATATATATATATATATATACATACACACACACACACACACACACACATATATAATGTGTATCTATATATATACACATTTGTGTGTAGAATGCTAATTTTATTTCATTGATCTACTTTGTTTCTGTTTGTTTTTTTTCTTTTTATTTCTTAACATTTTATTATTATTGGTTCCATTCAAAATATAAACATTTCTTCTAAACTTCTAACCAATTACAGATTTTTAAAATATGTAAGTCTATCAAAGTCTTTCTTTCTTTTTTTTAAATT